GCAGAATGAGACTGAGCTATTTTGTAAGGAGCTCTGATTTTTTTATTTTTCTTGCCCAAGCCACAGAATATACTTAACTAGATGCTGAGTTTTACTGCTACGATTACCATGTGGTGTCTTGGATCAGACATAGACATCATTAATCAGCTCCAAAACCCCAGCATGAATAGAGTGGGTATTTTAACTTGGGCAAAACTGTGGACAAACCCGTTTGTTTTGTTATTTCAGCTGTACTGTGAGCCTCCCTGACTTCCTCATTTGGACAGGCTGGCAGAGAGGCTTCCGTGTTTTGGGCGCAGGATCCTCTGTCTGGCTGCTTTTCCTGTCCTACATGCAGGTTTTCACAGGCCTCTGCTCTTCTGCATTGTGTTTCTGTGGCCCTGCTCCAGCAGCCAGGACAAGGGTGTGAAGACTGGTTCCTCTCTCTCTCTCTCTCTCTCACTCTCTCTCTCTCTTTATCTCTCTCACTCTCTCTTTGTCTGTCTCTGTGTCATAGAGGATGTGGGGAGGGAGTGAGAGTATGAGAGACTGAGAAACAGAGATAGATAGAGAGAGAGAGATAGAGAAAGAGAGAGAGAGAGAGAGAGAGAGAGAGAGAGAGAGAGAGATGATTAAAGAGAAGGAGAGGGAGGGGAGAAGAGAAAGACAGAGAGAGGGGAGAGAATGGAGAAAAGGAGAGAGAAATAGAGAGAGAGAGAAAGGGGAGGATGGGGTAGATGGGGAGAGGAGAAAGAGAGAAGAGGATAGAAAGGGAGAAAAAGAGAGAGAGAAAGAGAAGGGTAGAGACAGAGATAGAGAGTGAGAAAGGGGAGAGAAAGGGAGAGAAAGAGAGAGAGGCAAGATGGAGAAAAGGAGAGAGAAAGAGAGTCAAAGGGGGAGGGTGGGGTAGAGAGACAGAGAAGAGAAAGGGAGAAAGAGAGGTGTATGGGAGAAGAGAAAGAGAGAAGGGGAGAGAAAAGGAGAAAAAGAGAGAAAGTGAGGAGGGTTGGGGAGAAAGAGAGAGGGATGGAGAAAAAGAGAGATAGAGGGAGTAAGAGAGAGAGATGGAGAAAGAGAGAGAGAAAGAGGGGGAAGCGAGAGAGACTGAGAAAGAGGGAGGGAGAAAAAAGAGAGAGAAAGAGAGAGGGGAAAAGAGAAAGACAGAGGGAGAGGGGGAGAGAAATGGAAAAACGACAGCGAGAGAGACAGAGAGAGAGCAAAGGGATGGATGGTCGGGTCAAGAGGGGAGGAAGAGAGAAAGGGAGAAAAAGAGAGAAAGTGAGGGGGGTTAGGGAGAGAAAGAGAGAGGATGGGAGAAAAAGAGAGATAGAGGGGGAGAAAGTGAGATGGAGAAAGAGAGAAGGGAAGAAGAGAAAGACAGAGAGAGAGGGGGAGAGAAATAGAAAAAGGAGAGTGAGAGAGACAGAGAGAGGAGGAAGAGAGAAAGGGAGAAAAAGAGAGAAAGTGAGGAGGGTTGGGGAGAGCAAGAGAGAGGATGGGAGAAAGAGAGATAGAGGGGGAGAAAGTGAGATGGAGAAAGAGAGAAGGGAAGAAGAGAGAGAGGGGGAGAGAAATAGAAAAAGGAGAGTAAGTGAAAGAGACAGTGAGAGGGGGAAGAGAGGGGGTGGAGTAGAGAGAGATTGAGAAAGAGGGAAGGAGAAAAAAGATAGAAAGAAAGTGATAGAGAAAGGGAGAAAGTGGAAAGAGTGAGAGAGCACGGGTGGAGAAAGAGAGAGCGGGAGAGAGAGCGAGAAAGAGGGGGAAGAGAGAGAGATTAAGAAAGAGTGAGGGAGAAAAAAGAGAGGGAGAGAGAGATGGAGGAAGAGAGGGAGCGAGGAGAGAGAGAGAGAGAGAGAGAGAGAGAGAGAGAGAGAGAGAGAGAGAGAGAGAGTGAGAGTTATGCATGTCATGAAAGGTGAGAAGGAGGACGTTCCCCTGTCAAAACTGTCTGGAGTCATAAAAACGGTAACAGTTTGTATTTTACGAGCAGGCTGTTCTGAGTGTTCGCGTTTTGGGTTTATGGGGGAATCACGACACCCCCTGGCTATTGTTTCATTGTTAAAGTTCTGACTAAGGAAAAGGGAAAAATGACCCTTAATGCACTCTTAAATTAATCTTCTTTACAGTATTTTTGTGTGTATGCATGCACGCATGAGCCTGGTGTACCCAATATTAAAGGGGAAATTCCAGTGATTTTTCATGTTTTCTGCATAATTAAATGGCTAGGATGTAAACAAAGTCATTCAGAGTGGTTTAATGTGAAATGCTCTGTTATGGAGAAACTTAGAGTCAGAACTGTTCACAGTGGTGATGATAGGAACCAGACGTTCACCTCCTCAAAAGCTCCTTCACAGAAAGTTATTACAGGAAAGTGTAACAGATGCCTGAGACACTGTTTAATGATAGTTTTGAGTTCAGGATTAGTCTGAGAAGAGATGTGTAGGTTCACTGGTCATTTTGGATAGCAAATAAAATGTTGACTATATTCGTGACCTCTGGTTCCTATGACCACCACTGTAAAGAAATCCAAGTCAGTGAGCTTCTCCACAGTGTACCATTTCACATCAAACCACTGCTTTATAAACTGACCTCCATACAAGCAACAATTTAATGTCAATATGAGTTACAATTCAAAAACGTTGTTGTCATCAAAATATGCCTGCCTGAGAACATTTAATTATGTCCCATGTTTTCATGTTGTAACCACTGAAGAGGAAAAGGAAACATCTTTTTTGGACGTGCCTAGTGTGGTACGGGTTGGAATAAACTGATGTCTGCCCGCAGGATTGTCCTCCACACACATCTGCCAGATTTTAAATAACAGTGCACATCTCTCGAACTTACGTCGCCATCTGGTGCTACGTGCAGGTACTGCAGGTCACGCCGTTTGTTTATCTAAATTAAGGTGTTTTAGCATCTTCCTTAACTGACATCTCCTTAGCTTGGTTGCAAAATCTACATGCAGAGAAAAAAGAAATCACATAAAAAATACAATAAAAAATAAAAAAGATTAAAAAATTTTAAAAGATAAAAAATTTTCTTACTTCATTTATAAATCATTTTTGGTGTTATTATTGTTGTTGTTTTGTTGTTATTATGTGATAAGTGAACACACTTATAGATGCATTTATTTAAATATATAATATTACCGCTATTAAAATAAATAAATAATAATAATAATAATAATAACAATAATAATAATAATAATATTTTAATAAAGGTATTCATAAATGAATGAATTATCTATTCAAGAATTGAAATTTAGCTATATATAATAATGTATCTAAATACTACATATGCAAATTTTATTAAAAACAATCAAAACAAAAGTAGTTTTCATTGGATTATAAGAAGAAACACTTTTAGGGTTGTATTTGATTGAGAGGCTGTCAATCAAATGTAAAAGTGAAATGCAAAAAGTACCTTATAAAAATGACCAAATTAAAGCCAAATTATGAACTTTTATTATATTGTGAAGTTGTGCAATATATCATCTATACTGATATACTCTGATACTGATATACTGTGTAGTGTTCCTGTTGCCATGTGGTTTGTTTTAGTTTTTATTGTATTTTTTAATTCTATTTTGTGTGCTTTACACATGATATCTAGGATCTGATGGAAAACCACATAAGCATATGAACTGCTGACTGCTTCTGATTACTTGGAAAGAACAGTTTATGAGACATGAAAACTAAATAAATAGTAAGTTTTCTTTCTGGAAATGTGTTTACTGTCTGTTGTTAACACTGTGCAAGGTTTAGCATAGAGTACCACTACTAAGCATGGGGCCATTCAACTTAATAATGCCAGCTGAAATATCATCTGACACCATGATACTGCGATATACACTGTATGGCAAAAGTATGTGGACACCTATACATCACACCCATATGAGCTTGTTTCACATCCTATTCCAAAACCATGGGGCTTAATATCGAGTTGTCTCCCCTTTTGCAGCTATAACAGCCTCCACTCCTCTGAGAAGGCTTTCCACAACATTTTGGAGTGTGTTGGTGGGAATTTGTGCCCATTCAGTCAAAAGAGCACTTTTCAGGTCAGGCACTGATGTTGGACGAGAAGGCCTGGCTCACAATTAGCATTCCAATTCATCACAAAGGTGTTCAGTGGGGTTGAGGTCACTATAGTGTCACCACACCAAACTCACCAAACCATCTCTTTATTGACCTAAGTTTGTGCACAGAGGCGCAGTCATGTTGAAACAGGAAAAGGCCTTCCCCAAAAATGTTGCCACAAAGTTCAAAGTATTGTCTAAAATGTATTTATATGCTGTAGCATTAACATTAGCCTTTGCTGAACTAAGGGACCCAAAACCTGAAAAATCAGCCCCACACCTTTATCCATTTTCCTCAACACTTTACCGTTTGCACATTCCAGTAGGTCATATTCTCCTGGCAACTGCCAAACCCAGATTCATCCATCAGATTGCCAGATAGTGAAGCATGATTCATCACTCCAGAAAACATGTTGCCATTGCTTGAGTGTCCAGTGGTGGCATGCTTTACACCACTCCAGCCGACACTTGGCATTGTGCATTTTGGTCTTAGGTCTTTGTGGTTGAGTTGTTGTTGTTCTTAAAAACTTCCTTTTCGCAAAAATAGCACTTACAGTCATCTGGGGCAGATCTAGCAGGACAGAAATTTCACAAACTGACTTGTGGCAAAGACGGCATCCTATGATAGCGCCATGTTTAAAGTCACTGCACTCTTCAGTATTACTCATTCTACTTCCAGTGTTTGTCCATAGAGATTGCATGGCCATGCGCTTGATTTATACACCTTTTAGCAGTGGGTGTGGCTGATACACAGGAACTCAATCATTAGGAGGGCTGTCCAAATACTTTTGGCCATATAGCGTGTTTGAAAAATATCGTGATCTTTATTGCTATCAGTATCGCTCAGCACTTTGTGTGAAGTGCTGCGCTCTGCAGCTGCAGCTCTGATCCGCTCTCAGGATTATTTCTGCTGCTGAGTGGAACTGAAGTTTTCGGGCTGCTGTTTCCGTTCAGAGACCGGACCTCTCAGTCTAACATATCAAAATGGCGCAGCGGGATGAAGCGGTGAGGGAGTTTGTTGCGGTCACTGATGTGGACGAGGAGAGGGCCCGGTTTTTCCTCGAGTCGGCTGGCTGGGATCTGCAGGTGAGGAGGACACGGATGTGTTGTGAATGTGCCGTGTGTGGCGGGGAGGACTGAGCGCCGGGGCGGCCGGTGAGCAGACTGTCACCCTGGGCTCCGCGGCGGCTCAGCGACCGGGCAGGACTAGCCAGCACAGGCTAACGAAATGTGCAAGTCACTCTGTTGGGAAGCGGCTTTAGTTTGGCCTCTTTTTCGTTATTATAAGCCCGTTTGGCGTGACAACGAACGAAAATCACGACCCAGTTCAAATATATGCGCCCTGTTTAGCTACGCAGCCAGAGTAGTTTGGCATTGCTTAATGTCAGTTAGCTGCTGGAGGTTAGTTGGTTAGCTGGCTAACCTGATTTTCTCCAGTTGGTAGCTTTTCATTCATTTTCGTTTTTGGACGCGAATTATTACCCAGTAAACAACCACTGGCAACTTTGTTAATAAGCGTATGTAATTCACGCTGAAGTATAAAACAGCTCACCACAATGTTTTGGGAAATAGTAGCGTTAGTTTTGCTTTCTGTTTATCTGTGAGGCTGATAGGGGTTGGCAAACTGATGTTTTTTCGATATTGTGATAAATTATGTCACAGTACGCTTTGCAGAGCATATCGTGGATATTGTCAGTACGTAAAGAACACCAACTGCATGTTTCATTATAAGGTGAGCATAATTAGTCCTGTTTAATTGGATTTATTACAGTGCAGCTTGTAAAACGTTGAATAAAAATCATTGTAGTTGTTGGCATGTTATCAGTATTATATATGGCGCTACATGTTATATTTTGTCTGTTCCAACTTATGAAATGTCTGAAAAAATAAAACATTGTGTTGCATATTATTTATCGTGAAAATGAAGTATTTAGGTAACATTTTTTTGCCGTATCGCTCACCCCTAGATGCTGATATTGTTGTTGGGTCACTTGTTTGCTGATTGTTGTGTTGTAGTCTCTGTGTACCCAGGGCTCTTTATCTGCTCATTGATGTTTCTGACAAACAGCCCTATGTTCCCCATGCCCTGTGTTTTCCCTCTTTATAATTTTGAAAACTGTCCTGTGTTCCCATGGCCCTCTGCTCCGTAAGGCCTAGCTCCATGTTGCTTCAATCGTATCCCCTCAACATGTGTACTTCAGATATATCTGCAGATGTACATATTCTAATATTATATTTTCTGTGAATTGTATTTAAAATTTGACTTCTGACACTGCTTCGAAATAGATTCCCTTATTAAAACACAATCTGGTTGTACATTTCAGCGTATAGGAATGAGAATCTATCCCACAATTAGGTTTTTTATGCAATTTTATTTGAACTTCACAGTATTAACAACATTGCGAAACATGATCAAAGTTGGCAGTCGTGTTAACATCTAAATCTTTGAACAGAATCTCAGTGACAACATCTACCGTCCATTTCAGTACTGTTTTTAACACACCTCTGTCAAGTTGCCCTCACCTACCTGGGGGAATATCTGTTGCCAGCTTAATCCCTATTCTGTTGCTGTGCACAAGTGACACATTAGAGCAGTGAGGGATTGAATCAGTGTGAATATTCAGGAGCAGAACTTGCCCAGAAATCATTCACCTTTCCACTTCATCCATTACTCAATATTTCAAAACCATGATCTTCTATTTTCTACATCCAAAATGTTGTACATAGGGCACCTGGGAACACTGGTATGCTCCTGTTTTGTGCGCTAGCCATGTTAGGTACTTAGATGCAGCTGCGCTGTATTTTATTTGACCACCATACATGTGATCTAGTTGTATATATGCGCCACTGTGTCACTCTTATGCTTTTCTTCCCAGCTTGCTCTTGCCAGTTTCTTCGAGGATGGAGCAGAAGATGATATTGTTACTCTCCCTCAGTCAGAAAGCGGATCAGTCTCCCGATCGACAGGGCCAAGGTAATCATATGTGTGGATCAAAGCTGATGCGTCTAATCTCCTGCTATCCAGTGCAAGGATAAAGGTATGAAAACTTTCCCTGCAAGATTTATAGGCTGATTTTATTTTTTGCTCATCCAGTGAACACAGAGTGACGTCCTTCAGAGACTTGATGCATGAAGATGAAGACGACAGTGATGACGAAGGGCAGAGGTCAGTATATGTATTCATGCTGTTGTTGGTTCAAAGTAGCTGTTGCTTTAACCTGGTAAACAAAGTTCACCTTCAAGAAGGACATTTTCTCCCCTCATTCTTAAACTCTCTTTTATTGTATTTTAACACTGAGTAATGCAAAGTTGGGTGTTTTAACTGGAGATGGCATCAGTCTGACACCAGGTATAGGTTTTGGGCTGATATCAGCAGAAAATGCTTTATTGGACATTGAAGGGGGAAAAAGAATCCAATCCTATGACAAATCTAGCCTGAAATAGGTGATTACTACCCCACAGGAGGAAATAGAGTGTTATTTCTGTGGATGCACTGATATGACAGCTTTGTATCAATGCCAGTCTTCAATGTTTCTCATGTACATATATGCTAGTACTTATACTAGTACTAGCAAAAGTTTTGGCAACCTGGCCATGTTACCTATTGTTAATTTTTGAAGTGAAAAAAAAAGTAAACACAGCCTCTGCAGTAAACCCTATTTAAATAAAATATATTTTTCTGCAAATATTAATGCACAGTTAATTTACATTTGATTAATTTAAAAAATAGAACCAAAATAAATATTTTTGGCATATGGCAAAGTTTGGACATCTTTTCAGTTATAAAGTCTCAGAACATAAATAACTAATAAGGCCTTAACTGACTTATTAGAACTTTTCAGACAGGGCAAGAATTGTCATTGGGAATTGTCAGCTGGAGTCTCAAGGTAATTGATGCCTGCAAAGCTAGGTATAGCTATATAAGGATATCAAAGTGCTACTGTCTGCCCACTTTCAGTGTCTAAAATGTCAATAAGAATTGGCAGTTAAGGAGAACTGTGGAAGGAAGGCAAGATCTAGAAGACCATGAAAACTCTGATAGAACTGCTCATATGCTGGCCAGAAAGGCAAAGCAAAACCCCCATATGACAGTAAAGGACCTGTAGGAAGGTTTAGCTGACACAAGACCACGAATGCACCATTCTACGTCTAGTCAACGTCTGAATAGCCAGAGATATTTTGTTCAGATAGCCAGGTCCATTTTGGAAAATAGTGCCGTGGACTGATAAAGTAAAAATTGAATTCTTTGCCCATAATCACCAAATTTTTGTTTGGAGAAAAAACTTGCCAGCTGTTAAGCATGGGGATATTCTATTGGCACAGGAAACATTCCACACATTGATGTCAGTAAATTATCACAAAAATGTGATACAGACAATCAAGAAACAAGCTGAAAAGAGGCTGGCTTCTACAACAGGGCAGTGATCCAAAACATACTTCAATCCACCATGAACTACCTCAAGAAATGTAAGGTGAGACTTCTGTAGTGGCAGTGACACTTGAACATCATTGAAAATCTGGTTAGGTATTAAACATGCTGTGCAGACAAGATGGCCCAAGAATGTCACAGATCTAGAAGTGTTCTGCACGAATGAATGAGTGATATCTGCCAAAAGATACTCACTTAGTAGGGTGTCCTAATATTTGCACATGCCACAATTGTTTTTTTCTTTAAATTTAAATATATGGTAACTGCTAAGTAACTTGCAGTAAAAATATATATTTTATATGTATATATGTTTGCTGCAGAGGCTGTATTTACTTATTATCACTTCAGAAATCAAGACAATATGTAATACATTCATCAGAACAGTTCTGCAGTTTAGCATTTACTTAAAACTGCTGACGGACCAAGTTGGCAGTGGCAGGTACGCTTCTTTTAAAGCCCACGTCAGCACACTGTACTGTGGGACATCCTATGGGAACCTTTTATTGGGAATCTCTGCATCAAATCATTAGATCCTGGCTGCCACTACTCCATACTCTGCCAATATTGGTATTGACCTTGTTGTCTTCCCACAGGTTCTTTGCTGGTGGTTCAGAGCGCAGTGGACAGCAGATTGTTGGTCCTCCCAAGAAGAAGAGCACGAATGAGGTGGTTGAGGACTTGTTTAAGGGTGCTAAGGAGCACGGGGCTGTTCCAGTCGACAGAGCTGGCAGGGGGCTTGGAGAGTCTAGCAGGGCTAAGGTATTACTTGCCAACTACTGTAATTAAACACCTGTTGATAACACAGTTGATGTTGATGACACACTTGATAAGACTATATCAAATAAATTCCTACCTATTATTAGGGCTATATAAAAAGGGGCAAAACAACATATTGCAACTATAGCTCAGTTCTGACTGCAATACAGTATTGATACTGGTGTTATACACGTTCGTTGAGATGTGTGAAAGTGTTGGTTGATCCAGACTCCCACAGAAACTGAGGTTGATCAGGAAACTGATTGATCAAGATGCTCACAGTTAGTGGTTACTAGACAGTGGAGTTGGCAGAGGCTCTGCTACATTTTCATTTGACCAAAAAAATTCATGACTAACTTACATTAGTGTGGTTTGCACTGTATGCACGCTGTGTTATGTGCTCTTATGTGTGGAAGAACTCATACCTGAGGATGAATTTCAGTTGGTATACTGATACATACAGTATACCGGTTGAAAATCTTTCTGAGGTAATAATTTAGTCTTAACTGTTATACTGGTATGCCCACTATTATTCACACAGTAAAAATTCTTACAGTGCTCTTTTCTGTGTAGCAGCCGTCTATGATGTCAGTATTCCAGAGGCGAATATTATGATTAGAGATGAAACGATATTAAAATTTCATATCACGATTATCATGACCAAAATTATCATGATTATCGGTATTATCGCGATATTGTTCAAATGTGTTGAAAAGTAAAATAAATAAATAAATAAATGCTGATACACAAACTGAAACTTGTTTCACCAATTTGTATATTAACACAAATAGAATTGGCAGCAATATGCACTTTTTGTTTGCATAAACATTAAAAAATATACAATTTTGTAGTCAATACATTTGTAGTATTACTTACAATATTTGTAATACTCTGTAAACAAAAGAATAGCAAATGTATTATTATTACTGTTATTATTATTATTATTTTTTTTTTAATTATTATTATTATTAAGTACAATAACTAGGGATTTCCCTGCATAGAGAACTAAATCTGGACCAACTCTGAGGTGGGTCTTAATGGAAAATTACTACTTCTAAGAAGTGTTGCACTCGGGGGATTTCTGTTCTAACTGCAACTGCAGCATTATTGTGCCGTTGTGGCGCTGAACCCCTAATCAACACAGTGCACCAGGAAAAACAAAATCACAGAGGAATTGCGTGACCATGCTGTGAGCTGCAGACAGTGTAGGACTCACACAGTGTGTCTTCACCTGTGGAGCTGCTTTCCTAAAAGCATTTTAAAACTAAAACATAACTTAAAATTAACATGCATCTGAGCTGCGGCAGAAACTTTAATCTCTGAAACTCTGCTGCACACAGCAGACAGCGTTTACTCGCGCGAGGTCCCGTCTCAAAGCACACTATCTTCCCTATGTAGTGCACTTTCTGGATCATGAAATGGCAAATCCTTCACCCAAAGAGTGCATGAAATGTTCGACTAAGTCATCTATAATCAACATTAACAATAGGCTACAAATTCCATATTTATAACTCAACTGCTTGTTAATGATGATCGTGTTTGTTTGAACAGTAGCGCACTATGTAGGGGATATTGAGTGATTTGAGACGGCGTTATTCACTTCTCAGACAGTAAACACTGCAAGCGTAACGAGAAAGGGGAGCTGTGCAGATTGAACTTCTGCAGGGTCTCGTTCCGGAGCTTGTGTGACTGTTAACTCAGAGCTCATTTTGGAGACTCTGCTCCACAGAAATATGTGTTAAAAGTTTTGATTCACAGTTGATTCACCGATTGTTTAACGCTAAAAGCTTCATTTTATATTATTAACGAACCATAAGCACAAGTTAAACCACACAAACCATGACATTTCTTCTTTTTCGAAGTCCCCACAGACTTCTACGTTAAAGTTAACCTTGCATTCTCTAAAAAGTAGCGGGTGGTGGTCGCGAAGATGACTCGTAAGGTTTGATGTGTTGCCCCCTTTCGCCACTATTTTCTTTAGGCCTGTTCTGCAGACAGGGTGGTCATCTTCAATTAACTTTCCTTCAGCATCCTTATAAAACCCAAAACATGACCAAACATCAGACTTGGTCTTCTTAGAAGGCTGAAATATCTCCGAATCTCTGTCACTACATTCCACCATGTTCTCTCCCTCTCCCTCTCCCTCTCCCTCTCCCTCCCCCCCCCTCCCCCTTCCCACACACAGAGCTGCATCTGAGAGATGATTATGCCTTTGTTTGACTCTGTACAGCAAGTTTTTTAACGATACTTTAAAGTTCAAACGGTACTACTAACCGTCGTTGATTTTACCGCGGTTTACCGTGAAACCGGTAACCGTTTCATCTCTAATTATGATTGACATTAATAAACCTTATAGCCCTCTTTATTGTCTTGGTTCTTTTTTCAGTTTTGTTTCTCACTGTTTTGTGTCCTCTGCAGCCGTTTGTAGGAGGTGGTTATCGACTGGGTGCAGCACCAGAGGAAGAGTCTGCCTATGTAGCTGGAGAAAGGAGATCCTCCAGTAGTACACAAGATGTGCGTCAACGAATTCATGACCTTGCAGTTTTGGAAATTACAGTTAAATGAATGCAGTCTTACTTAGTGACTATTTCCGTTATACAGGTGCATGTGGTGCTGAAGCTGTGGAAGACTGGATTCAGTCTTGATGAAGGTGACCTCAGAAACTACGACGATCCTGGGAATGCCCTCTTCCTGGAGTCTATTCGCAGGGGGTAGGTTCCCTATAAGGCTCATGCAGAAAAGTACCTCATCCGCACTGTGCAGTATGGTGGTGGATCTGTGATATTGTGGGGCTGTTTCTTTTCTAAAAGTTTTTTTCAGATGCATAGTATCAAAGACTACATTAAGTACCAGCAGAAATAAAATCAAAACCTGACTGGCTCAGCCAGGAAGCTTTAAGTGGGCCATAGATTAGATCTTCCAGCAGGAAAGTGATCCAAAGCATGCCTAAAAACACAAAATTGGTTTAATGACCACAGAATTAAGGTTTAGCTATGCTAGTCTCCTGACCTAAAAGAAAATCTGGGAAGAGCTCAAGAGTCCACAGTGTGGACCTTGTAATCTGAGGGATCTGGAGTGGTTCTATATGGAGGAATGGTCTCAGAGCCTTTGGCATGTGTTCTCTAGTCTTATTAAGCATTATAGGGGAGGATTCACCTGTTATCTTTGCAAAGGGAGGAAGAACAAAGTATTAAATAAAGGGGTGCCAGCAGTTGTGGCACACACAGATTTGAGAAAAATATTTATGTCCTGGTACTTCAGATCAAAGTTCAATTTTTTGTTAGTCAAAAGGATAAACAATAATGAATGTTTGTTTTTTTTACAGCACTGTATTTCCACCTGTTCAGCTTATAGCAGTTTAGCTTCACTCATGCATGGTGAAGTTAAAAGGCACTGTGAAGGGCAACCAATCAGAACAGACATTTACATATATGGATGCACAGTAACAAAAATATCTTTAATTTTAAGGGACAGAGTTTGGAAAATGGTTGTGTAAAAATGAATTATGTTTTCAGTACATAAAACCACACAAATGTAATAAGTGGACCTCAGGGAAAGCTAGTATATTAGAAAATGTAGTATATGTGCCCTTTAAAGAGGCTGTATTCTGCATTTTTCTTGTTTGTTTATTTTTGTTTTTGTACAGTGTGTACAAATTGTGCAGGATGTACCAAAAGTTGTTTGCACGACCATTTTTCAAACTGTCTATCCTTTAGAAATAAACAAGAAGTGCCTTTAAGCATGATATGTAAATTACCTCTGTTCTGATTGGCTGCCCTGTGTTTTGCATCATTCAAAAAGCAACATAAACATGAATGAGTGGGTCAAATCAGTGTAGGCTGAAGCAGTGTATGTGTTCGTTTTGTGATATATCACAAACAATTAATTAAAAACAGGTTTTTGTGAAGCTTTCCATAGATGGACCTAGGAGTGAATGGCATTTTTAAGCAGTGCTAATGTTAACTGGTGCCAGATTTTGTTGGCTGTTACTATTCCCCTTTCCCAGTCACAGCTACAGCTGACTAGTCACTCTCTTCATCTTTCAGGGAGATTCCTCTGGAGCTGAGACAGCGTTCTCGTGGAGGGCAGGTGAATCTGGATATGGAGGACCATAGAGATGAAGATTTCAGCCGACCCAAGCCTGCTTTCAAGGCTTTTGCTGGAGAGGGACAAAAACTTGGCAGGTGAGTATGTCTCTATTCATTTCACTTTGGCTTTCAGTCTAAAGGTCAGTTAGCTAATCAGCTGTTTCTAGTGTTCGCCCATGTTGAACAGAAAAAACTCCATATAACAGTAATATGTAAAAAAAAAACTGCCCTTTTCAAAAAGCAGTAATAATAAACAAAATGCAACTAAAAAAATACAGAGTAATGTATTTTATAAAAAAAGGCTAAAATACTATTGCTGCCATCTAGCAGTTTGCTTAAGCTTGGCCTACACTGCATGATTTTTTTTTTGCCCAATTTTAACCCTGATGCGTCAGTTGCGACATATTTTCACATTCTGAAGCGACTGACGGCGCAGATGATCTGATAGTATGAGAGGAGCAACAAGTGAATCTTTAGCCCTCCGATATTATGAAACGTTTGATATTTACGGCTCAAATTCATGAGTCCTGTAGTGTGAGAAGGTCAAAGATGTACTCAGTGGAGGATTCAAACAGCCAATCAGAGAGCTAGAAGAGTGGAGAAAAATTAGAAGAGACATGCATTCATACTGCCTGAACAGCGGAGCACAGAGACAGAGGGGTTGTGTGTAAAACGGGCAAATAAGAGCTCTTATGTTTATAATGTATGGATCTGGATGTCAAGGCGCACTCTTTACAATTTCACATCAGCTGCTAGTTTGTAGAGAATATTTCTCCAGCTCTGACTGTGATATCAGGGTTTCTCAATATTAACCCACAGTTTATGCTTTCACTACACATAAAAACACAAACAGGTCTGGTCCAGCAAGTTTATCTTTGTTTGTGTCATGTGATCTCTGATGAGATCTAGAATTTTGAGTTCTTATTCATAGGTGAAACTCGTTATGTTTGTTACACTCTTTTTGCTTTGTCGTCTGGTGTGAGTGCCCACATGGCAAAAGGACAAGAAATTCTGTGATGAACTGACGTTAAGTTTGTGATGCTCAGTTTTAGAAATCTGTGAAGATTTTAAGGATTGTGTCCTGTACTCCCAGCCTTAGCTTATGGTTTTATGATAACAGGTCTGATTAAGCTGCATTGTTGTATCACTGTAACCTAATAATAGTAACACATTATGAACTGATATGGTTTAATGTCTTGATCCTGGGTAACATCATGTGGGAGTTCATAGCTTAACTGTGTGTTTGCTAAGATGCAATTCCACCCTTTGACCACAGTGTGGCATAAGATGAATTTTTCCTACTGTCTTTCTCCCTTTCAATCCTTCTCTCAGTGCAACACCGGAGTTGGTATCTGCCCCGAGGATGGGTCAGCAGGAACAGGCTGCCAGAGAGGCCCAGGCCAGCGCTTCCATTAGTGTGGATGACTCGCAGCCCGTCACAAACATCCAGATCAGACTGGCTGACGGAGGCCGACTGGTGCAGAAATTCAACCACACCCACAGGTGAAGAGTTAATCGCACTGGCCTTTATTTACATAAATATTCATACTCTTGTTGTTCCAGATATCTCACACTTGTAGCTTTTCTCCTCAGGGTGTCTGATTTGCGTCAGTTTGTGGTGAACGCTCGCCCGGCCATGGCTGCTGCTGAGTTTGTTCTCATGACTACCTTCCCCAACAAGGAGCTAACAGATGAGAGCCAGACACTGAAGGAGGCCAACCTGCTGAATGCTGTCATTGTTCAACGGCTAAAGTGATGGTGCCCTTTAGTGGCCTGGTTTTATCATGGCACTCGGAGTTTCCTCCCCGACAGGAAACGCATGGACTAAAGGACTTCTAAGTACTTAATTTTTTTTTTCTTTAGTGATATTTTTCATCTCCCTCTGCAGCAGTTTGTGGCGGCGGGTACCTCTGGATTAACAAAATGGAGTTGGGGGTGGGGGGGGGGTGGGGATAAACTAGATTGTGTGAGATGCTTTAAGGGAAGGAGAGAGAGATGGAGTGGAAGTTTAACAGCAAATTTTACTGTTTGAGCATACTAGGCGAACACTTATCCAAATTGAAAATAAAGAGCTTTCTAAAGAGTTTTGACACTCAGTGTTTGTCAGACAGCTCTGCTGTTCCTCCTTTACCTTCTCGTTTTCCTCTCTTCTCTGTATGATTCCTCTTTCACTATAAACTCTCCACTGTCACCAGACTCTCTCTGTACCAATGCCAGTAGCCTTACATCCCAATGCCCAGTCCGATGGACCTCCACGTTCAGCTGCAAATGTTGAAGATGTAAAAGGGTAAACTTTTTTTTTTTCTTCTGTTTTTTTGAGACAAGTGGGGGTTGTGTTTTTTTTTTATAAAGGGGAATCCCCTTCATTTTGCAAAATTTCTGCATAATAAAATGGTTAAGATGTAAACAGTCATTCAGAGTGGTTTGATGTGAAATGCTCCATTCTAGAAAAACTTACTGAGCCAGAATTGTTCACAGTGGTGGCTATAGGAGCCAGACGTCTGAAGAGTTTAAGGCAGGGGAGGGGAACTGAGGGCTGGAGTCCAGCAAAGTGATTTCACTGCTCTAGCTCATCAACCAAACCTGGTAATTAGCTGATGAGTTGAATCCAGTATGTCTGAGTAGAAAAATCTTCAAACTGTGCAGGAGTTTGGCTCTCCTAGACTGGAGTTCCCTATCCCTGGTTTAAGGCCTCTAAACCCATGTAAATTGATTACCTGAGATTCTTATAAATATGCAGTCTGATGCCTGAAACATTGTTTTCTTCTGGTTTTGAATAGTAAATAAAATGGCCATATTTGATTGTAGAAGTCACGACCCCTGGTTCCTATCACCACCACTGTAAAGTAATCCGAGTCTGTAGGTTTCTCTATAATGAACCGTTTCACATCCAGCCATTCTGAATGACTTTATTTACAGCTCAACAATTTAACTGCCTAGAAATTCTGAAAAATCAGATCAGTGGAATTCCCTTTTAACACTGAAGTGGTTTATTTTGAAGTGATAGCTGTCCCACCATATTGATTTTGTTGCCTGAATATATGCTAGCAAGATAACTAAACAGCTGGTTGTGAGATGACCACTTTCATTTTTGGACTCTGCTGCTGGTTAAAACATTGGCAGCCAACTTGTACTCTATGCAGCGACTTCTTGTTCAACTGGAGACACTGCGTGGTTGTGTGGAGCTGTGGTAAACCTGTGATTAAAATCCCTCTGTCTGCTGTTGTAGAGAGCTTTCTTGTGTGACACACCTCCACAATATTTGCACACAGCTTTGTTCGTATCTAGGTGTGGACCCAACCGGAGGAAGTGTAACTAGCAATATGAAAGTAAAAAGAGTCCTTGTAGGAGTGCCAGGACTGGGCAGCTTTCACATGGCTTTTGATTGGTCTATTTGTGACGTCTATGCTCTCAGCAATATCACGCATATTAGACAACGTGATGGAAGTTATTAGCACTGAACCGCAAGTCATGAGTTTGTCATGCCACACAAGGTCTCCAAAGTTAGGCCTCTTTAGTTCATTCTCTCGCTTACTGTAGCCTTGAGTTCAGCTGACTGTACAGCTTGATCCATTTCATTGTCAAAGTGAATGTTTTCAGTGCTCAGTTTTTGATGGTGTGGCACATCTGTGCTGCTTAGAAACCACTGTAATTTAGTCACACTAATGTCCTCAGTGAAATTATAACACATTCAGAGTCGGGGCTGGATCCTAGAGGGGCCAGTGCCTGGGGGCCTCAGACCACAAGGCTTGGTCTAATGATGGGGGGCAGTCCACTGCAGGTGCAAGAATGAGCAAATGAACAAATAGCTGTTGAATATGGAATGAATAGATAAATAAAATAAAGGCACCATATTTAAAAATATTAGTTCATTAAAAGCCCCCAACACCAAAAATAAGCAGAAATATAAACATGCAGGAAATCATTTGAAGTAGCTTGGGTTGCCTATTGCATATTAATTGAGAATGAATGATTTTGTTTGTTTACATACATTCCAAAACTGTTTGATGTGCACATAAATGAACACAACCAGTTTATACAAGTGTATTTATTCAGCTCTATTTTTCTTGTAAGAATGGGGGGCCTACAATGACGTGTCCAGGGGCTTCATGAGACACAATGTGTCTAAGTATATAGTGGATGTTTTGTGAGACTGAACAGTTTTTTTTTTTTAAGTTTTGCATAAGAAAACTTACAGACTCTATTTCTTTACAGTGGTGGTGATACACACCAGGGCTCACAATGTGTATAACACAAATAGAGCACTTTTATTTGACTTAAAATCCAACACCACCAGTGACCTGCCCTCTGAGCTTTTTCATGTAATGTTTATGATGGTAAAATAGTGAGAAATCTGGGAAACACCTGTAGGGTAAGGCTGCTGAAAATATAGCACAAATTATTCTTTTTGCACTGAGATAAAAACTACATTATATGCTTTGAAAAAGAATACTCATTTTAACAGTGAAAAGCAGAAGAAATGTGCTTCTTTTTTTGTAAAATGTACAGATAATTTTCTCCTGAATAATTCAGATTCCCTACAAGAGCTATTTGGGCTGTAGTAATGTTTTTTCTATATGAGAGTGAAGAAACCCACACCAGCAGTACTGTACGTGTGGCTGTAATCATAAGTTTCAAAATAAGAAACTAAATAGTATTACTGAAAATGCAATGTGCAGTTTGTTTTTAATGCAATCAGCTAATTCTAAAATAAGCATAATGACAATATAGGATAAAGACAGAAAGGCTATTTCAGCTTTCAAATCCAGAGACGAGGACTTTTTTCAGCAGGCAAACAGTAAAATCTTAAACCATTGCTGGCTTAATTTATGACATCACAGCCCCAATCTAAACAACTTTTGGGAATATTGTGCATCACAAAGCCCTGATGTTTACAAACATTTGGATTTGTTCTCTCGATGGACTTCAACTACCGTAAACACTGAACTGAACAGCTCACACAGCTAAGCTTGATCCGATGACTTGGGCTGTGGGGAAATGATTGATAGTGTGCACATCAAATAACTGACTGTGAATAATTGACTATAACTTACATGAGCATTTGGACATGACAGAGTATTTGAATGAAGATGTATTCATGAGCACACATGAATGTCTATATCACACGTGCACTGAGATCTTTTTTGTATTTGCACAGGGTTTATTTCTCCTAGCATGTGCAGCAGTATTGTAGCATTGCACAGCCCTGTACTATTTTTGTCATACAAGACCCTTTCCAGCATTGTAAAAATGCACTTTAGGTCATTTTATCGTAAAACAATGTCTTTGGCTTTAGGCAACATACTGACTACCATTCTGTGTAATGACTAGTTGTGAGGTAGGTTTCAGAGATGTTACACACTGATGACGTACGGTTCCTATTGCCACCATTTTTTCCACCATTAAAAATGTTTGCTACGTTTTTCTGCAATAAACCATTTCACATCAAACCACTTTGAATGATTTTGTTTACATCATCATTAATTGAGTTATGCAGAAATTTTGAAAAAACAGTAAAAAATTCCATTAACACATCAAGACCAAGTTTGCTACTCGGAGAATTCAGTAGGAGTCTTTTCTCAGTCCATCTAGCCATGGTGGCTGGAGATACCCTTAATTAACCAGTGCTTCAAAGTCATTTTTATCAGGTTTTATTCATAAAAAATACAGCTTCTCTTTACAGCGTATATAAAGAGTAATATCATGGTATAGAAAAATATCACTCATATTGGAAATACAAAAGAATATGAAGTTAGTCAAATGTTTCTATGTGAAAAGAATGTAGTTCCCTCTGTATATCTGATGTCTACAGTTCTGCTTAGGGTACTTTCTGCTTAATTAGGTGAAATGCAAATACAAGCCTCGATTATTTTCTGTATGGATAATCCTACATGGACCATTCTAAAGAATTAGTTCAAGCTGCTGTTCTAAGAAAAATAAGTATTCAGATCGTAGATATGTTCAATGATTATGTAATGATCTTTTTAAACCCAGGGCAACTGAGACAGTAATAAGCTAAATATGCACAAAATTATCATTTAAAGGGTACTTTCTATTGGGAGGTGTCTGTCCCAAACCCTAACCTCTACATTTCAACTTGTGAAAATAAAACTTACATTTTTCTGTATTTTTCTGCATTTTTTGAAGTTAAACAATTGACTTATCTTGAGTTTATTTTAGTAGTAAAGTAAAAAAACTTTATCTAAAAAATGCTGTTTCATGTTTTCATGTCATGACCGTTTTAGTCCATAGGTGGAGCCTTATTGGAACCACACCCCTGCATTTTAGAGCAGGAAGTGAGACTGCATCCCTGTCCCTCATGGCCACATGTCTGAAAATCAGTGTGAAACATTAAGAACTGTCCTTACCGAAACATATTTTCTGCAATTAAGTACACTTTTTAAGTTTTAATGAAAAGGATGATGATTTTATGTGTGTACAACTGTTCAAATCGGTGTTTGCTAGTCTTGTACTGGCTGGTGTTTTTGAGTTATGCTCAAAATTAGCTAAAATGGTCACTACCGAAATATTTGGTGAAGTTTGGGTTGTATTTTGATTCCAAAATGGAATGTTCAGTCATTTGTTTTATTAAAATAAGCATAATTAAGGTATAGTGTTACTCAAAGCTAAAGTCCAAGTCCATTAAAAGTCCAAAATGTGTTTCGAACTCTTCGAACCAATTCGGCAGAATGATCCATGTAGTCAAGGTTATATAAATATGTACACTACTATATGCTGAATGGAATGCTTTCAACGTGAGATTTACAGTTTTCTGTTTTAACTCAACAAACTGTGAAGCTACTCCCTTTTGCGCAAATGGATGTACATGATTCCACTCCATATTAGCAAAGGCACACACACCCAGGCCAAAATGTAGCAGTAGCCAAACTGTCCCAGGCTCAATTCTCTGGAGTCCTCAAGGATTTCTTTGTTGTGCAGGGTGTAGATGAGTGCTGCCGTAAAGGTAGTGAGACCTAGAAGGTAGATTTGGAGAGAGAATCCACTGCAGAGCTGAGAATGTTTCAGGATAGAGACTGCTGTAGTTCAGCTGCATCATTTGGACAAAATGCGATGTGTGATAAAGATGTTGGATATTGACATGAGAATATGAGATGTGATGAGTTAGGATACACAGTATCAGTGTGTCCTCAGCCTTGTTTTTTCCCCAGCAATAGTTTTTACAGCCTAGTAGTTAGGCACAATGTAGCCTCTGCCTGTCTGCAATTTAATCTAATTACATCACCTGCACACACAAGACTACAGCATGAAATTACATCACCAGCCCTATTCGGTAGTAATATGAGGTGGGTAGAATTGCCTAAACCCACACTCAGGTAAACGTGCAGTTACTTTGCTGAAATAGTGTTTGAAGTAAAAGTAAGCCACATCTTTCTTGTATTTTACTTTTTCCCCCCTAAAAACGAATGACGGCATTTGTATGTGTTCATTCTAATAAGAATAACTTATAATAATAATAAAGTGGTGATAAGGTTTAACAGTAATAGAAGGAATTATGGGTATTAAATTCAAATCATATAAGGAAATAAGGTCAAACTAAAAAAAACACCAACAGATATAGAATTTTAAACGCTAAATTAAAGAAATACGTTTTCAAATGTTTTTTTAAAAGTGTGCACTGAGACTGACTGTCTAATAAAACCTGGAATTGAGCTCCACAGTTCAGAAGCATAATAACTGAAAAAGGCTTCTTCATGTTTTCTGTATTTTATGGAAGATGTTTGCGGAAAGCCAGCATCTGCAGATCTATGATCACGTGCTGAAATAGAGAGACGTTCTCTGAAATATGCAGGTGCTCGGCCATTTAGAGTCATCCTAAAAGATAGAGGCAGCCAGTGCAGTTCCAGTGCAGTAATATGAGCTCTTGTTTTTGTTTTTGTTAGGATCCGTTCTGCTACATTTTGTACGAGTTGTAAAGGATGTATTGTTTTCTTAGGAAGTCCAGTAAGAAGATCATTACAGTGATCAACTCTGCTGTAACAAATGCATGAGCAAGTTTCTCTGCATCACTCTGAGATAGAAAAGGCTGAACTTTAGCAACATTTCTCAAATGATAAAAAGCTACTTTAGTAATTGTGTTCATATGCGGGATAAAACGGAGCTCAGAATCTTAAGACTACACCCAGGTTTCGTAGTTCAGGTTTGGAATACAAAAGAGCCGAGCTTCTCATAAAGCATGCTTCTCTAAATTTTGGTACCAAGGATCAGTATTTTCAGTTATGTGCCAAAAACAGTCATACCTAATTTTTACATGATTTAGAATTAAATAGGCGGTGTTTGTTACTGTGCTTTTAAGAATGATATCTGTAAATGACCTCCTTTCTGACTCGCTGCCCTGTGCATCATTCAGTAAGAAGTCTAGGCTGTAACACTCTTTATAACTTCAGTGCGATTGGGAGGAGCTAATATGCTGTAGGCTGTATCACCTAACCAGTGAATTCAAAACAGGTTTTTTTATAGCTTCCATAAATGGACCGTATGTTCTGGGGAGCGAATGGTACTCTGAAATTTAACAGTGTTTTAAGATGTTTATCACTGAAACTGATATTAGTGAAACTGATATATGATGCAACCCTATTTGGCAGTAATATGAGGAGGGCTGAAAGGCCTAAACCTATACCCAAACAAAGGTATTGTTACTTTGATTAAATAATGTCTGCAGTAAAAGTAAAAAAAAATAAAAAATTAAGAAAGACAAAGCTACCAAGTAACTTATAGAACTGTAGCAGAACTTCTTTGTACATCCATTATGTGCTACTCTTCTCTTTTTGGCAAGCTTTTGGTCTAAAATGTTAATGACTAAAATGTAATTTACAGGTAAAAGGCAAAGAGTAAACAGTAGATTTCTTTTTTCACACATATACTTAAGTATTTACACTCAACTAGACGCAAAATCAATATTTCTAAATAAAATTCAGTTTTACCTGCAAATGCTTGGAAGACACCAGTGAGGTAGAAGAGTCCACCTTTAGACATGGTGAAGAGCTGACCGAGAAAAACGAGCAATGAGATGCAGGAGGAGACCACAGAAAAGACCATGAGAACCTGGACAGCCTGAAGCCACTCTGGAAAATAAATAGGAACAACAATTCACATTGAACACCCAGCTAAGATGTGGGAATCATCCTTAAGGCATATTTTACTAAAAAAAACTAAAGCTTAAAGAGAATTCTCACCTGTTTCTTTTGATGATTCACAGAACCATGTCTCTTTTTCATTGTCAAATTTGCAGTTGTACCAAAGATCTGAGCTCTCAGTGTTGGACCACACCCACCATGACTAAGTCAGGAAGAGAGGAAGAGGGATAAGACTGTTGCCGAGGACAGATGATCCTGATATTATGGTAATCAGATCTCTTATCACAGCAATTATACACTGCCTTGCCAACACATAGAACATTCTCGAAAGTTGCCAACTAACTAACAACAAATTTGCAAAAACCCCAAATAAATTATTTGTCTGTGGATGTTTGATAGAAATTAAAAGAACTGAAATAATATACAGATGAAAAAATCCCTAACTAGGACAGAATAGCCTCTGATCTGGACTGTTGTCTACCCATGAACCATTAGAGTAACTGACCCATTGTCTAAATCAAACAATCACTCTGTTAAAGGGATCATTACTCAGGCTGTAAAACTGAAGGAGAGATAAGATTATTAAGGCTAAAGATCATAGTAATGAGAACTATGTTAGAGTAAAAAAGCACTCTGAGCAGAACAGACCTAACAAACACTAACCCTAGAGTGAAGCATGGTGGCGGTAGTATCATACTGTTTCATGTACTGTTTCATATCTTTTCACCAACAAGGAGGGCATACTGCTAAACTTTAAGGAGATCGGACATGGAAAGACAGCAAACCTTTGCTTAAATCTGACAAGAAACTGATGATCCACCTTCAGCAAGATGATAATCCAAAGCACAGAAACAGTAACATTGGAGTGATTAAAAAACAAAATGTGGATGCCCTTCAGTGACCTAGTCAAAGTTCTAAGCTAAATCCAATTGAGAATCTGTAACACTGTTTGAACTGCAGTCCATTAGCATCATCCAACCAACACACAGCCTTCTGAAAATTAGACGATTCATTCCTGAATTTATAAGTGTACAAGGCCGCTACACCCTTAACCCAAGAAACTAAAAGTTCTATTTCAGCAAATTACACTAATAAATATTAATGTAGAAAGCTTATGCAACTAGAGTGTTTCATTTTTTGAAACATCTGCAGACAAATTGGTTTATTTTAGTTTTGAAAATTTAATGTTAATGCATATGAGTTCACTACAAAAATACTGATTGTAATCAAAAAAAGGTTAAACATTTTTTAAACATAAAACTGCCTAAAGGCACTGTATGATGTAAACATAATAAATCAGTTTATCTGTGTGTATGCAGGGAGGGGAAACAAGTATTTTGTCACTTTTGATTTATTATTTGTTATTTAATGGTATAATAAAAAATTCTAAATACATAAAAAAGTGTTCTTCTGCAAAAAGATTTTACTCAACAAGTATATATCATGAGAAGTTGAAGGAACGTCCTAAAGTTCTCAGAGACAACATTATTAAACAACACTTGAATGGAAAAAGCTACAGAGTCATATCAAAGACCTTAAACATCCCTGTCAGTTGCTTCAATAATATGCAAGTGGAAAGTTCATGGCATCACAACTAATTGTCCCCAGACAGGTGCGCCAAGCAAGATTTCACAATACAGGTTTGTGCAGGACCGAATTTTTAATCCCATTCTTGCAGAAAATCAGCTCCATTTGTCCCGCTCCCGACCACAGTCCCGTAGTTACTTATCATTTATATATGCTAATTATTACATGATTGTTATCATTTTATTTAGGCTATTCATTAAGCTGCAATTTATCTACATGTACAGTAAAGTCCAAAGGTCTGACAAAAGTCTGACATCACATTGAAAATCAGATTCTTTTTATTTAAACCTATAAATAGACAACAGAAAGTTTCTGAATCTTGAACAATTTAAAACAAAGAAACGTTATGACAATGAAAATGAAGAAGAAACATTCTGTATATATTTGTATTATATATAATAATATTATAATTATATATATTATATATACCTTATTCTATATTTCTAGGTCACTATTCAAATTAAAGCAAATTTGTGAAATTGACCATGTTAAGGCCTTTGTACAAAAGGGCAGATTATTCCTTCCAGTGAAACATGTTTAGACAAGTAGATTTGATCTACTGATCAAACGCTTTTGGAAACTTTAGCGCTCGCTGACATTAAAGCAAAAGGGGGACAAAAATTCTGAAATTCATGTAAACATTTGAAGATTCTACTTATACTTCAACTGCTATGCTGATATCATAATGCCAATGCTAATATCATCTGTAATTAAAAAACTTTGTATTAAATTAGAAAAGAATGCAAAATAGAAGCATTTTCACTCAGATGTTTGGACCCCACTGTACGTACTGTTCCGTTCCCTCCCACATGGTGTTGGTTAAGCGCACACTCCCGCATACAGCACTGCAAATTAGTCCCATACTGCAAAATATTGTGGTGGGTCCCACAGGAGTCCCTTTAGTTCACAATGTGCTCTAAAATGGATGATAAGGAAGATGAGACAGTCAGTCCCACGAAAAGAGCTGAAGGACAACCTGACAGCAGCAGGAACAACAGTTACACAGACAAACACAGTTCCATTCCTACATCCCATGCAAAACGCCTGTGCTAAAAAAAAGCACAGTGACGCATGTCTAAAATTTTCACACAAGCATTTAGACAAATCACAACTGTTTTGAAACAATGTATTCTAGTCAGATGAAACAGCAAAGAACAAAAGAGCAAAAATAGCTGCAATAATTCAGCTCGTCATGTTCGGAGAAAGAAAGGTTGTGGGTATAATCCCAAGTACACCACACCCACAGTGAAGTATGAAGGTGGGAGCATCATAATATAGAGCTTCTTTTCTGCAGTCAGTACTGGGGTGTTACACATCATCAAAGAAAACACAAATGGAGCAAAATACTGAAAAAAATCCTGGGTAACTGAAGACAGTTAGACAAAACAAATGAGCCAAAATTCAACCGCAATTCTTATGGCAGACGTCTCACGTAGGTAATTGCCAACAACAGCTTTACAACACAGTACTAATATTATTACTTTATGATGAGTGAATACTTTTCCCCCTATAATTGCTGTTTTTAAGCATATGGTGGGGTCCAAAAGTCTGATACCAAAATCTGGAATTTTTTCATTTAGTCCTGGATATGAAGATCAGAAAGCTTTACATTTTTTAAACTGAAAACGAAACGACAAGTAAAATGAAGAAGAAATATTCACAATTCTGCATGATTTCTAAGTCACCATTCAAATCAAGCAAATTTGTGACACTGACCATGTTGAGGCCTTTGTACGAAAAGGTCAGAAGTCTTATTCCTTCCATTAAAGCTTGCGTTCAGACAACTCCAGGTGAATTCGGTCTACTTATCAGAAGCTTTTGTCACTGTTAGTAATCATGCCAGCTCAAGTACAAAATTCTAAATTTTGTGTTCAAATTTCAAAGATTCTACTGTTACTCAGATTGTGATGCTGATAATGTCATTTGTAATGCAAAAAAAATTGGGTTCAATTGGAAAGGAATGCAAAATAGAAGTGTTTCACTAGTAGTCTCAGACTTTTGGATCCTACTGTATCTTTAAGCTTATGAATACTTTGTTGTGCTTATTTATAAGTACAAAGTCAAAATATATTATGAGCGTAAATTTAAAAGAAGAAGAATTAAAAAAAACAAAAACAACAGTGTCTGAATACTTGTTTCCCTTCACTGTGTATTTGGGTGTTTAGTCACAGTGATGCCAGGTCTTGAACTGTGGACAGATAATTAATTAATTAAGTCTTTAAAGTAACCTTCTCCATGGTGGCAATGAAAAGGACAGCCAGTGTGATGAGATGAAGCAGGGTCACAAACATCAGCAGGTAGGCCATAGTGCCGGACAGTCCCTCTGAGTCACTGGAAAAACCTACAGCAACAAGCATTTCTATTTAGAGTCGTACTGCTACCACAGAGGCCACAAAATATGTTGTTCAGCTGAGAAAGGGTGCAGTATGTCCTTTAAACTGGTTTTAACATAAAATCTGCAGACTCAAATCTTTGCATCTCTGGCTGATCTGTGGTCATTTTGACTTGTACATCACAAACATTATATCTTGCCCTATTAACTGTAAACAATGTAATGTATATTTCTTATTATAAGACTGTTGTAAGACTGTTATAAGATTATTTAATCCCCTACTGCATGCATTATGATAGCAGTTTAAAAACTTCACTTTCTTGCATTCACTTTTCTTGTATAGAACGGTTCTTGATTATTTAATTATATGATTATAATATTATATATTATAATTATTAATAATCTGTCCTAATTATTAAATTCAAAAACATAAATAAAGTGTGTGCTGGGGTGTCCTGTTGGAGTATGTTGCCTTGAGGCTAAGAAATGACATAGAGCCGTGTTCCCTGAAGTGGTAAGGCCTGGCTTGTGACTGGCTAAATCCATTCCACTGTCGCACAGTGTTGCTTCTAGACAACAAACACAGTTCTGCAAATTCTCATAAGAAAAAAAATTATACTGAATGTTAAGAAAGAGGTATAAATGTGCCCACTAAGAGACAGTATGACCAAGAACATGATTTTTATTGACTTGCTCAAACTCTTCCCTTTATTGTTAACCCTATTATTGTCTTTAAATATGTATAATGTTATGGTAAAGTGAGGAAAATGAGTTTGTTGCCCTGAGGAAACATTGTGCAATAGAGGGTTAACCTATTTTTACACATTTGCTGGATTGCACTTGCATCATTTTTTTCAAACACATTATGATAATTTCCTGGATAAACTCATTTTAATAAGTAAAATGTCTACAAGTTGATTTAACAACCTAATTTTACTGTGTAATTGTGAAAATATTAGATATATTGCCTATGTTTAAAATGCCTTCACTTCCAAAAATACCATTTATTTGTGGTGTACCACCATTCTTGTGTACATCATGCAGTTGGCATCCTGAACTACACTGTTCCACAGCCAGTCGCAGAAAGTGGGCCACTAATTGACCTCCTGGAAAGCTGGGTAAACTCTGTCTGGCTCCAGGTCAGCGGTGGGAGCTGACGACGCTCTTTCAAATGCTTTCCGGTCTCTGGAGATTCTAGGGTGTGCTGCCTCCCATTATAATCAGAGGGAGGGATTTAATCAGCAAAGTTAATCAAATTCACATTACTGCCCACACGACCGCTTCAGCTCATACATCAGATAGAAACAAGGGGGCTACATCTTCTCAGGCGCAAGCCAGATATTTCATGTTCAAGAAAATTGACATTGACATTGAGTAATGAAGTCAGAAATCCTTTTTTACAAGTTTAACAAAGTTTATGATGATTTTCAAAAGATTACAAAAACACATCAATAAGAAGAGAAGTAATGAAGGAATGGTGATATAAAATACACATTTCATAATATAAAATCTTCATATAAAGGTAAACTATTGGCTCATATTCATTCATATTCACCAGTCAAATAGGATATAGCATTACTTAACATTACTTCTGTATAAAAATCCTTAATCAGTACTAATGTGGCATAACATTATTATAATTAATAAGAATTGAATCAGATGAAAAGAAACTATTGCTCACCTTAAATGATTCCAGTCAATGGAAAAACTAATATGACCAGCTTCAACTGTACTCCTCTCCTCCGCTCTGTTGATCCCTCAGTCTTTTCCACTTATACTACGCTCCTCCTTTTCCCCTTCTCTTAATTTCTAGGTTTCCAGTAGGTGGAAAGTGCTGTTTTTTTCTTCTTGAAGAAGGGTTGTTTTTTTTCATGATCGTCTAAATGGCTGTTTCCTTTTGCGAGAACAACAGTCCCATTGCTCTCCCGCTCTCCCCCACGTCTACAGACAGACTCTTTAACTAGGCCCACCCATCTGGATGAAAACACATGAGAGCATCTACAAATATGTCTCTTTGACCCCACCAGATCTCCTAGGCCTGTTATATCGCTCTGGCATCTTTGCCATGTGAATGGAGCCCAGAGCCAAGGGGTGGGTTTCACCGTATAAAATTGTTATAATTAAATAGGGAGGAAGTAAACACCTTAATGAGGAAAATTACACGAACTACGCTGTTTATCTGTATGGGTGTGCGCTGAAAAGTAACTGGTGCATTACTATGAAAAATCTCACGGGAGGGGGCAGATGTTAGGTATACAACTTGATCAGAACTATGCCTTAAAACCAAAATGAACTAATTTGTGTATCTGAAATGGCTCCGATCTTCATGACCTGTATAGTTATGCCTGGTGTTCCCTAGAGGTGGAAAAAACTTAAGTAACTGTACTTCAGCATTATTTTGGAAGATTAGGCTATACTTTACTTGAGTACTATTGAAACTTAATGCTTGTGCTTAACCAGTAACTTTTTCATAAGAAAAAAACATAATTTTTACTCCTTACACTTTTATGTTGACCTTCAATGTACAAAATTCAAAGATTTTTCTCTGTTGCTCAGTTGGATCCAACCAAATTCATACTGACAGAAAAGCCCATAGCCCATACGCTAACTATTTTTGTAAAAAGACCAGTTCCACTCATAACACACTACCAAAAAGTGATATTCTAATTTGTTTATTAAAAGTAAAGATGGCATATTGGTATTGAATGAAATTAGTTTCAAGGTGATATCAAAATATTGGATAAGATATCGGACAGAAAAAAGAAACTTAGAAAGCCAGATATTTCATATTCAAACAAACTGACAGTGACATTGAGTAATGAAGTGAGAAATCTGTTTTACAAGATTAACAAACTTATGATGATTTTTAAAAGATTACAAACACATCAGTAAGAAGAGAAATATTTTAAAGCTCAGTAATTTTGAAAGAAACAGTTTAAATGTAGATACCTTTTTTTAAGGTTAAGGGACCCTTATTAGTCCCCCAACAGGGAAATTTCACCTTCACATTCTAACCCATTTGTGCAGTGAAACACCACATACACACTAGTGAACATACACACACTAGGCCGGGGTGGTGGGCAGCCTATCCATGGCACCCAGGGAGCAGGTGGGGGTTAGCTGCCTTGCTCAAAGACACCTCAGTCACATACTGTCAGCTCTGGGGATCGAACCTGCGACCTTCCGATCACAAGGCTGGCTCCATTTATGGTATTTGGCAGATGCTCTTATCCTGAGCGACTTACAGTTTGATCATTTTACACAGGTAGGCGAAGGTAGTGTTAAGAGTCTTGCCCAAGGACTCTTATTGGTATAGTGTAGGGTACTTACCCAGGTGGGAGATTGAACCTCAGTGTACAGTGTAGAAGGCAGAGGTGTTACCCACTACATTACACCAAGCTTCATATACTTACCCTCGAGTATATTTTGCCTCCACACTTACACTTTTACAAGCTCGAAAAAATGGATATGCTGGTAATCTTGACAAAAAAAGGCCGGATGCACCAATAGAGCTTACTAGTCGTAAGATAAATATGAAGGTAGTTTATTATGATTATGAATATTGGTCAGAATCATCACAATTAGATATTTTCCCCAAAATTTTCAACCCTTTTTACTTAAAGGGGAACTCAAACAAAACAAACTTTCAACAAACAAAATTTCTGCATGATTAAACAGTTAACATGTCAACAGAGTCACTCAGAGTGGTTTGGTGTGAACAGCTTTGTTCTAGAGTAACTTACTGAGTCTGAATTGTACACAGTGGTGGTGATAGGAACCAGACGTCCACCTCTAAAAGCTCCCTCACAGAAAGTTCTGACATGAAATGGTTATGAGTACACTGCCTGATGTCTGAGGCATTGATTTTATGGTAGTTTTCTGATAGTTTTGGTTTAAAACATATTTGAATCATTCATGATTGAGGGATACATGAAGAATATTCTATGGCAAAATAGCCCCCAAAGAAAACGTATTTTTTTTTTAAAGTGACCATTATTATACCATCATCAACATTACATATATGAACTCACAAGACACTTTTTTCCCTGTTTTGTATTATAATATTTTATACTAACGCTGTTTGCTATCCAGTGTCGACCAGAGGAGGATGGGTTCCCCTTTTTGAGTCTTGGTTCCTCTCAAGGTTTCTTCCTCTTGCTCTTAGGGAGTTTTTCCTTGCCACTGTCGCCATTGTTTTGCTAATGAGGGCCTGGACCTGGATTTTTCTGTAAAACACCTGTTGTAAAAAGCACTAAATAAATAAAATTTGACTTTGACACATGTAGGTTCACTGTTGGTTTTGGACAGTAAATAAAATGGCTGTATTTTAATAGTAGACGCTGGGACCTCTGGTTCCTATCACCACCACTGAAAAGACCATCTGTGTTGGTAACTTTCTCTAAAAAGACATTATTTCACATCAAATCACTTTGAATGACTTTGTTTACATCTAAACCACTGCGTTATGGAAAAACTTGGAAAATTAGGCGGAATTCCGCTTTAAGTACAGCCTCTCTGTACTTTTCCCACCCTCGGTGTTCGCGTTACCTGCAATTATTCTCAGCCTGTTTTCCTTGTCGGTGTGAGACGTGGGCTGTGTTTGGGTCACTGCTGTTCTTTTCTCCATTATTTACGGTTTCTGTCAGTAAACTATCTGCACTCTCGACTCTCTGAAGTCAGCCAACTTCAATTTCAAGACCCCTATTAATCATTGACTCTCCGAGCCAGCAGGCGACAGTAATTTCCGTCGGGAGCGATTCGGCTCAAATCTTATGAAGAAACAGAAAAGCGCTGCGACGTCAGAGGAAAAACAATGGCGGCTAACGGGCAGCGACTCTCCCGAACTCAAACAAGACGAAGAAGCCGAAGCAAAAACATAATAAGTAAGATCAAGTATGGTCAGATAACAGGCATGGCGATGACCCGAGGCACGCAGGTAAGGACCCCCTGAATACTTTCCCCCCCTCTGGTTGCAGTTTTGCTCCTGTGCAGCGGTTCACAGTCCAGCAGGCCTCACGAGCCCCGACTCCGGAGTTGTAGCGTTAGCGTTAGCTTAGCTGTGTTGATTTGCAGTACAGCTTCTTTAGGCTCGCCAGCCTGGCTTACTTTCTAGTGGGTGGATTCGCTCAGACGCTTCAGTACAAACCTTTACCTGCAACTAAATGAACGGCAGCGAGCTTTTAGCTGTATGTGCAGCGTTTGTAGTGTTTTGTTGAGTAGCTAGCCTAGCTGGGTCTTCGCTCCCTTGTCGGGTTGCTAAGCTAGCTAGTTAGCTACCTAGCTAGCAAACTTAACGTATTTTTACTGGCTTGTTTTGACTCCGTTCTGCATTCCTCAGTTAACCTAGGCAGCTTTTCCAGATTGTGTTTGTTCAAATTTCATATTGTGCAAACTGTCAGAGAAGTTCTAACTACATAAATCCTGTTCTGAATGCGGTAACTTAACGTTAGCAATCAAACTGGTTGCTAAAGATAATCTCGCAGTAACGTTAGATAACATGTTACTGTTTTTAGCGGTCTGGTTACCTAATCTGACACCTTGAAAAAGTACCACAGGTCCTACTCTGCCATTCAGTTGGTTAATTTAGGATCTGTACCCGACTAGTTTATTGTTGCCACGCAATATTATTTAACCCACCTAGGTTGGTCTTAGTTGTTGGGCACTTAACTAGTTAACTACTATATTATTTACCTAGGCTTGTCTTATTTGTTGGGCACTTAGTTAACCTACTGTGATAACTGTTCTTTCTTCACACAACACAGGTTTACTTTGTGTTGTCTGCCTTTTGAATTAAACAAACAATTACACATGCTGTGTGTGTCTATTTGACATGTGTTTCAGCTCATGTACGTTCTGTATACTATATGTGTACGGCAATATTTGGGTTGCTTGTTTATTTTTATTATTTGTGGACTGACTGCTAGATCCCAGTGGACCTGCTTGAGGAGAGAGATAAGAAGGCTCGATGGCAGGGAATACCACTGTTATTGAGGAAACTGCATGAAAGCAGCCACATAAACAGTGACCTTTCCAAGACACACAGTGTTGTTAAGGTACCAGCACACATGGGTGACATGGATCAATTGTCATTTTTATATTGAGTCACCTTCTATGTCTGCGTCACGTTCCTCTATAAGATGTTGCTCTTACCGTTAGTGATTCAGCATTTTGAAAGTAAATGTTCCTTGTGCAAATGCAGGAGCTGTCGTCGTTGCTCTCTATGGAGGCGATGTCCTTTGTCACAGAAGATCGGAAGACACCGCAGGAGTCTGTATCACCTAACACCTACACTTTTGATCTTTTTGGAGGAGTTGATGTGAGTGTTGTCTAACAACATTTCGCTGTGCTTTGTTATATAACAATTTGCATGTCTGAGTTATTGTTTTCAAGTCTATGAGATGAATATGAAGCAAGTAAGGGTTTCATTTTGTAGTCTGCCCCATGCTCTTATGCCCATATTAGGATCTCCCACAACAATCTCAACTTTTTCTCATTGGCCTAGAATTGTCGTGTTTCTACTGGTCTTTAAACTAGTATGTGTTGCTTACGTTTTCTGCGTACAACTTATTTTATTGGTCTGTCTTGTCGCGTTTTTATCTTTGGGAAACCCGCAATTGTTGCTGGTGTTTTTGTTTTTTTCTCGATGTTGCTCCGTTCTGGATTGCGACAACACAGTCTTTATAATCGCTCATGATTTATGACGTTCACACTCATTTGTCAAAACTTGAAAAGCTTTTTTCATATTCTGCTACAAAGTCTGTTCTGTAGGCCTACATCTCAAGTGTACTTATGATAGACGAGTTCTAACCCAAATAACTGTGTTTTATTAACTGAATCCTGGAATTTCATAATAAAAAATCTTTATGACTTTTTTTACATTTAAAAGGATTTGGTCTTACTGCCACACATTTCCATAAGTCTAATAAAAATGACTCAATATACCTAAAAAAAAATCATATTAAATGTTATATACCCTGATAAACCACTTTATTAGCTCATTCCTCCTTGTTTCTACACTCATTGTCCATTTTATCAGCTCCACTCTAGTTCAGACCAATTAAAACACAACGTGGGAGGAGTTGGATCAGATCCAGCCACACCCCCTGGACTTTTGGTTCGGCAGCGACCTGTGATAGTCAAATATGTCCCAAAGCTGATACGTTTTGTCCTATGAACAGTCTTCTCTTGAATATCAGTGGATCCTCTGAATTACAAGGTCATTAAAGAGTCCAAATATGAATATTGCTACATGTTAGCTAACGCTACTGTGCACTGAACTGACGTCTCCTTTAAAAAACACACTGCCAGAACAAAAGAGGTAGGTTTCCCTTGAGTTAACTGTTCTTCATCTGATACATACATCTCATATGTAGCTTGATTTGAAACCTACACTCATTCATAATTCAGTACAAACCCAGCTTAATGTTATTGCTCACCCCCTGATAAGCTGATTTAGGCAAAAAATATCCTAATAATTATTTTTATGCTGGTAACATTTTCTAAAAAAAAAATTCTCAGGGCATTTGCCTGCTGCTTGTTCGAATTTTCCCATTCCACCTTAAATGATGCAGCAGCTATATATGAACAGAAAAATTAAAAAAAGCAGCGGGTAAAAAAGAAGCTGACATCAGCTTCATAGAAACTTAAAAGGCATGACATTAATTTATTATTAATAAAGACCCTTTAACTGTCTCATAATTCAGAGATCCAGTGACATTCTGGAGAAAAATTTACACAGGACAAAATCTATCAGGTTCTGAACATTGTTTAC